ATGATGACGATGATGATGATTATATAATATGATTATGATTATGATTATATATTATTATTATTATATATAATGATGATTATGTACTGTTTGATAAATGAGCAGGAGTGTTTTATCGGGTATAAAACACGAGGCGTAGCCGAGTGGTTTTAGACCCGATAAGACACGATCTGCGAGTTTATTAAACGGCTTAAAAAACTCCTGATGTATGTTCTCATACTGTACCGAATTCTTTACGAAATGAACCAAGTTTGATAGAGAAAATCCAAGTTAAAGTTTATAATGCAAATGAAGACGAATCTATATCAGATATAAAACCTCCTTCATGGTCATGATTTCTATTATGTTTCCTTCATGAATTATTAATGAGTTTTTTAATATTATTATATATAATGATGAGGAGGAGGATGATGATATATAATGATGATGAGGATGATGAGGATGATGATATATAATGATGATGATGAAGTTGATGATGATAATTAAAGATAATGATTCCTACAGGTAAATATATCTTCATCGAAACATCGAATCCCAGAAAGAAAGGTGAAGCAGCCACCTTGATATCAGGTCCATACATCGGTGTATTATGCATGCAGTTCTATTATCACATGAGAGGAAGCCAGATCGGTGATCTTCGGATCTACATGTCCGAGAGAGGACCAGTTGGACAGAAACTCATCTGGACGAAGGAGAAACAACAAGGACAGTTCTGGAAGAGAGAAAACGTCACTGTTTATGGCTTTGCATTTGATGTAAGTCGAAAAACTGAACGTAATTTTGTATAATTTTTCAGCTTAGTCGTAATGATTTCTTAGTTCAGTTAGGAATAAGATTATTTGTATAATTCGCATTCACGTTAATTGATCTTATCAATCATTTCTGATAAGCATCTCAAAAAAAATAATATTCAAGGGAATGGCATGTGATCTTAAATGGAGGAAAATCACTTCCAATAAACGAACCATGCAACCAACCTGTCTGCCAACCAACCCACTCACCCACCAACCCACCCACAGCAACCAACCAACCCACCAGCCCACCAACCCACCAGATCCCCTGCCCACCAGCCCACCAGCCCACCAGCCCACCAGCCCACTAGCCCACCAGCCCACCAGCCCACCAACTAACGACTGAACCTGAACGAACGAATGGGGGAAAAAGAAAGGAAAGAAGGAAGAAAGAAAAAAAAATCTGTTTATCTATCCCTTGTCCTTCATCGTCTCTTGATTCTCTAGATCCTTCTCGAGGCTCGTGTTGGAGGAGGGTATGAAGGCGATATCGCGATGGATGAGATTACCTTCACTCCTGGCACCTGCTACCCTAATGAAAATCGCGAAAAACTCTTAAAAAGTCGATCAAGTGCACAAGAAGATGGATTAGATAACTCTACCACTAAAGGTATTCGTCTGGCTTGTTGATTCATTGCATCATTCGGACCATGATCTTTATATCTTTGGGCGTAGTTATACAATGCTTTCGCGCGATATACCATGGAATATTATCCCATGATTCACTCGTGTTTTCTAGTATATACATGAGACTTGCATAGTGCGAAAGCACAAGTGATGCGATATTGCATGGTGTGCCACGAGAAAGCATAATGTATAACTATTATATACAAGTGACAAGTGAGATATTCCGTGGTGTGCCACGAGAAAGCATTGTATCACTATTATATACAAGTGACAAGTGGGATATTCCATGGTGTGCCATGAGAAAGCATTGTATAACCACCACACACAAGTGACAAGTGGGATATTCCGTGGTGTGCTATGAGAGAGCATTGTATCACTATTTTATACAAGTGACAAGTGGAATATTCCATGGTGTGCCACGAGAAAGCATTGTATATCTAATTAGCTTATAATTCTTCCATCAACAATCACCCCTTTTTTGGTTTACTGTTGTCGTCGAGCTTACTTAATATTCTAACTTAGCCTCTGATGCCCGCTGTATAGGCCTTAAGGAGAATTGAACGGGGTTTTTTCCATTGAAAAACAGGAAGTTGTGATTTTGACTCAAGTTTGTGCGGTTGGTCAAACGATATCATGAATGACGACTTTGACTGGACACTGTCGGCGCAACCAACTGACACGAAAGGAACTGGGCCAGCGAAAGATCACGGCGGAAAAAAAGGTAACGAGGATATTTATGTGACATTATAGAATGAATACATATCAGGAAGGGGGGGGACAATCACGATTCACGGAAATTGATATTAATCATTAATGATTCACAAACTTTAGAACATTGTAAAAATACAAATTGCTCTGTACGATGAAATTGGATCACTGTTGTGAATCCAATCTTACCAGCTTTTTCTGTATGGCGGCCATTTTGGAAAATAATTTTTTTCTCATAAAAAAGAAAATAAAAATTATCGCGATCAGGATTCACGCGAATACCCCTTACCGACCCTGCATGATATGTGAATAAATATTAAAGATAGAAAGATGAAGGAAGGAGGGAAGGAAGGAAGAAAGGAAGGAAGAAAGGGAGGAAGAAAGGGAGGAAGAAAGGGAGCGAGGGAGCGAGGGAGGGAGGTAGGGAGGAAGGAAGGAAGGAAGGAAGGAAGGAAGGAAGGAAGGAAGGAAGGAAGGAAGGAAGGAAGGAAGGAAGGAAGGAAGAAAGAAAAGAAGAAGGTAGGTAGGAAGGAAGAAAGGAAGAAAGTTGGTAGGAAGTATTAGTGAATGAAAGGATAGGGGCCGATCAATAAATTGAAGGAAGGGTGGATAGAAGGTTGAATGCGTGGGATCAACAGACGTATGGATGGATCGTTTGGAAGGATAAATCGATGAATGTGTGAATAGAATGATAGCGTAGGCCGGTGGGATGCATAAATGGCTAAATGAAATGAATAAATTAAAGGTTGAATAGAATGGATGGATGGATTGTTAAATGTATGGATGGACGAACGATTACCTAAAAACCAGGCCTATTTTCCTGCCTTTAGGTGGACGCTTCATGTTCATCGAAGCCTCATCACCAAGACGATCGGGAGAGAAAGCCCGACTCTTGAGCCCGCAGTTGTGTGGCCAAGTGTGTCTGCGGTTTTACTACCACATGTTCGGTGTCGGGATGGGCAACCTCAACATCTTAAGAAAAGAAGGTATCAACGGCAAAGGGGACAGAATTTGGTATGCTCGAGGCAACTGGGGTACCAAATGGCATAGAGCTGTTGCAGAGATGAACTCTGATCAACATTGTTATCAGGTAAAGAAAATAAACTCAATGAAGCCCGAGTTCACGCAGATATGCGTCTAGTTAAACTAAATGAGTACTATTTTCACTTTAATTTTAGGTCATAATCGAGGGAATTATTGGAACGACGTACACCTCAGATATTGCGATTGATGACGTGTATGTACAGAAGGGAAGCTGCTGCGAGATGACAAGTGAACTGAACAGACTCGATTTCACAGGTAAAGACACCAAGACAACCCACACCAAACTACCAAACGTCGGTCCAATAATAGCGCATATATCGTGCCACACCAAACGACACCATACTGCACCATGCTAAACAATAACCAACACTGCATACCGCAGCAGACCATAGTACACCTCCTGTAGCGTCTCGCACCACACCACGCTAAATCACGCTACAGCATACCATACTACGCCACTCCACTCCACTCCACTCCACTCCACTCCACTCCACTCCACTCCACTCC